GGAGACACATTTAGATCTTTGTATCACATTCTGGTCTGTTGGTTAGGTCATTATGTAATAACTCTGGAATTATCATACGAACAGAGGAGCAAGATTGAGAACACTTGGAACCATCTGTAATGTTTAAGGTATAAGTAAGTGTTGAAGAGAAATAAATGATTGAATGACTTTGGAATTTCTAATAAAAGCAGCCAATCCCAGTCAACTTCATTTCATTCACTCTAGACTTTTAAACTGGTCAGAAATAAATGGTAGAACCCCTGGAAATGTTCAACAGTATGGTATACGTGAGTTTTACTTGTTCTTCACTCTGTAGGGATGTGAGAAACACAAATTGTTCAGCGAAGTTGAGCAGAAAATGAACTTAGTGAGACACTGTGTATATTGATACGAAAATCACAAGGTGTGAGGGAGACGCGGTGGACTTGGGCACTCCATAATTTGAATACATACAGCTGTATTAAGGGCTGAGTCAGGCCCTGGCCCTAGAAGAGGAGTAACTAAGATTTTGAAAATATTCTAGGAAGGTAGAATTGAGTTGATCCTCCATAGCTATGGTGGTGTCTAAAGGGTGGTCTTTTGGGGCTCAAAGCAGGGTGACCTTAAACTAAAATCTGTTTTAATAGAATATAAAAATCCAGAAAGAAAAAATGTCCTGGTTCTATCCATGGACATAATAGCCTTAGCAGCGCATGTGGTATGTTTACAGAGAAATGGGAAAGTAAACGTGTGCCCTTTTCCTCCACCATCAGAGGTTCCCAGGAAACAAGGGTTCATTTCAGTAGATCTTCAATGGCTGAACAATCCAGAATGTTGCATGGACATTTGGAGCTAGAAGTGGCAAGGTCACTGATCGTCTGTATTCAGGAATTGGTCCTTTATGAGAAATTTAAGTCACACCAAAAGGCTTCTCTTAAGGCAAAAGTCTGATAATAGCCTCATGTTTCCCCCAAATTCCGTCAACTTGGGATGCCTTGGTGTGAATGGATTTTTTTTAATGCAAATGCCAAAGGTAAGATTAAATCTGATTGCTTTCTTCATAATTCTTAAATGAGGCTGACATGCTGAAGGACTGAACAGATGTTTGGGGTTTGGAATTCCTCAGCGGTAAGAGAAGCTGCTCTTTTTCCCAGGCCCCGCGTGCCCTCTCCCGGTTTATCGTTGCTGTTTCCAGCCAATCTTAGCAGCTGCTCTCTGCTGGCTGTCCAGATCATAAACTTTGAGACTCATGCCACACTTGAGTGCCATGGGCACTTAACTACCCTTGTCCCAATCCCTTTCCCACTGTCAGAGAAAACTGAGCCATGCTTCTCAGTCTCCGTTCCCACTCCAGGGCCTGACGCTCTATGGGAGACATTGGGATTCCTGCACAGAATTCCTCTCCCCTTCTTGGTATCCTTAACCACTATTGTGACTACGTCTTGGATGTTGTCATATGAAGATAGAGCAGCCTGGTGGTTAGAACACAGTTTTTGGAGTCAAACAGACATGGCATCAGATCTCTACTGCACTACTTATTACCTGCTTGACATTGGAACGAGTTTCTTTCTCTCTCTAAGCCTCAGTGTTGTCATCTGTAAAATGGCTGAACTACCCTCACCCCACAGAGTTGTTTCACTGCATGTAAAGTGCTTGCTATGGGTTCAGCACTCAGTACATAACGGTAGCTGTCAATAGACCTGGAACTATATAGCTCCATTGACATTTTAAACTCACTGACATTTAAAATGTCTCTCTCTTTGACCACTCCACTCATTTGTCCCCCAGCTTGCCACATCTGTTCTGCAGCCTCACTGAATCCCGCAGTCCAGGAGTTCTCCCTGTGAAGGAGGAAATAGCTGTCCTCGGCCCTCGGGTCACGTGCTTCCAAATTCATGACTTTAGAGTCTATGTTTCTTCCCAGGTTTCTCAGGAACACCCCAAGGACTGGTCCATCCCTCTGTCAGGGAGGTTGGGGTCTGTTACAGGAGGGGAACTGGGCTAAGCCAGGAGATACTGTAGAGAAAAGATAGGCCCAGGCGGGCTGGAAGTTGAGTTCTGTCCTCCCTCCAAAAAGGTGGTGTTTAACATACGTATAGATACTCTTTAAACAGCTTTTCCAAGATCCAGGGTAACCATTGGTTTGATTGGCTTTTAATGAATTGTTTACAGCAGAAATATTTTGTCATAACCATAATTTGTACTCCATACTTCATGGGTAGGAGAGGGGAGATGGTGAGCTCTTGTTCTCATCATTTCTTATACCTAGGGAAGAAGTTTAGATTACATGACTCGCCCAAGGTCAAACATGTAATAAGTGGTGGAGGCAACATTCCACATGTCCGCCTTTTAAAACTGTCCATCATCTCTTCCCCTGTTTATTCCTGCAGTAGCAGCATCCTCCTTCCATCATTCTGCCCCTCAGGAAGAGGACCCTCCCCAACCCCCACCTACCCCCAGCCAGCTTTATCACAGAATGTCCCATTCTGGGCCCTGGAGCCTGCATCATGCCTTTAGAGGCCTTTCCCAGAACTTTCCTTTAGAAGGGGGAGGGGTTGCTCCCTTTATTCCCTTGTTCTGTTTCTCAGAGGGCCTTTTCCTTCCCACCTTGCCCCTTAGTGTTCCTTCTCCAGTAGCCTCTGACTTTGCATATCTACTTACTGGTTTGTTCCCTGCCATTGGAAGGTAACCCTCCTGAGGACAGTGACTTGTAGTATCCTCTGGTGTTTGTGCTTTGTACATATCAGGCATTCACATACTACAACATTTGTTGAAAGAACGAATGACTCAGTTTTATCTGTCAGAAGCTGTAAGGATGTGAGCCCAGAGCAAATGGTGCATGGCATCTCCACTTCTCCCTTCTCTCTCTCTGCCGCAGCCTGCCAAGTGACTAAGGGAGGAGGAGGAGGGAGAGTTTGTGTGCCTGGGGACCCAGCTGCACGCCTCCCCCTGGGTTTGCATTGTGTAGAGTTTCAGGACACCATGTCACTCTGACCTAAGCCAGTTAAGGTTGAGTTTCTGTCATGTGCCTGGTCTCAGTGCTGGCAGCCCACAGCTGGATCTAGGTGTGTAGAGCCTGTTGAAGGCAGCAGAGCACACTGGCTAAGGGCATAGACACTTGAGTCAAGTGACTATTCTACCGCATCCAGTTTGTGTCCCCTTGACAAAGTTTCATAACCTTTCTGTGCCTTACTTCTTACTGCTTGTGAAATGTAAATGACTTTATATGCTCGTTCCTAGGATTAAATGAGATAATACATGTGAAATCTTTAGCATAGCATTTAGTGTTCAATTCAGGCTGGCTGTTATGTATAGTACTAAATAAATACAGTTTTTTTCTATTCATGTCACAAATCTCTGGGTTGCTAGGTCTGCTTCCTGTGTGTGGCTCACTCTGCCCCATCTGGCACAGATCATTGATGGGGAGGAGCTTTGAGGGAGGTATGAGTGGAAACCCAGGAGGTTTGGGTGAGAGTTCAGCTGTAATTCTGTGTTCACTATCGAGGGAGGGTGCTTTGGGGTGAGATTTGTGTGTTTGTGTTTATTTTAGCTTTGTCCTGGTGATTTCCACAGGGGAAAATAATTCAGACGGAATAAGTGTCATCACTGGGAACTTGCCTGACAACTCTCTTTCTCCAGGAAGAGGAGCTCTGACCAGTAGGATGGAAAAGGGCAGCATCTGAAATGTGTACTGGGAGGGAGAGGTTCAAGGTTGAGTCTTACTTTTGGCTGCTCCAAGGAACAGGACTGGGCCAAAGTGTGGGCGCTGGGGTCAGGTTTTAGTTCCTTGTAAAAGGCAGTGGAAACCGTCACCTCCTCCTCAACCTTCACCACCTCCCTAAGGCTGTGCACTGAATGCTGGCAGCAAGTGGGGCCTCTCAGTGTAAATTATAAACTCAGTAAATGAGTAATTTTTGGTAAATAATCCACTGTGTAAGCTGATGAAATATGAAATACCTTCTGTTAAAATTTTTTTTAATGTTATGGAACATGATAAAAGAGTTACCAAAAGTTTTTGTTGTTATTGTAAAATTCGGTGTGGGCAGAACAACTGTAAAAGATTTGGGGGAAATGTCAATAACTGCTCAGGTTGCTTTGCAAGTGGCAAATTCTTGCTCCCCTTTGAAGAAAAAAAAGTAGGAAGTCATAGAGAACACGTTGTAGCTGACGCAGAGAACAACAAATAATGTCAGAGAACAGCCTTAGCCAGTGCCAGAGATTGGCAGATAAATGCATATTTGTATCTTAAAGTGTTTAAGGTAAGTAGTATTTTTAGTATATATTGTTATTATTACATATTAATAGTATATATTAACATGGTGTTATGTGTATAGTTTTTTCAAATGAATTTTCTACTTTAATAGACTACTGTATCAACCAGTCAACTCTTATGTATCAGGTAAGTGGATTTCTACTGTTCTGATGAACGGACTTAACCAGTATGTTTGTTGACTCCGAGGAGACTGGTCTGTCAGCTTTGTTTCGTAAGACTGGAAATAGGGCATACAGCTGTGTTAATAAACTGGGGTAATAGCTATGTTAATAACACTGTTCCCAAAATAACCTGTATCTTTAGATTCCATTTCCAGTAGAACGTCTTCTTATAGTCAAACTGACCTTTTGGATTTTTTAATCATGCAGCCTTCTGAATATGGTGTGGCTCTAATTGGGATTGTGGGCTGCTCTGGTTCAGAAGGAGTTCATAGACACCCGGGATTGTTGTGAGCGAGTTCAGATGAGGGGAGTGGAGCACAGGAGGAGGAGGCCCGGTGGGACATGGGAAGATTCGTCTGAACCTGGGGGCTTCTGTTTGGGTGAAACGTTTTGACTTCCAGGCATCAGGCCACCAGGTCCAAACATGAGAACAAAGGCAGATTCTTCTAAAAGCATGGTGACTTTTTAACTTCAGATGATTTCAGGTTTCTAGTTGTTACCTCACTCAAATCGATAGTTAAGAATCTGTTGCAGTAATTCAGTAGCACCCCACAACCTAAAACTTCCTGGCTCCCTTGTTTTCACAGGTGCTGGGGCGATGTTTCCTGACAGTGGTGCAGGTCCATTTCCAGTTTTTGACCCAGGCATTACAGAAGGTCCAGCCAGTGGCTCACTCTTGCTTTGCCGAGGTGGTTGTGCCAGAAAAAAAGAGCAGTGGCGGCAGTGGCAGCTTATCTGGCATGGGCCACACCCCGGAGCTGGAGGAGGCGGTGCGATCCTGGCGGGGTGCTGCTGAGGTAACCCTGACTTTGGGGAGATGGGTGCCCTCTGTTCAAATAGGAGAGGCTGCAGAGGGCCTTTGCCTGTTGGTTCTTAAAAGAGCTGTTTTATTTAGATGTGTGAGTCTTAAGCTGCTGTCGTTAGCTTGTTCATTCATTTAGCAGTGAATGTCTTTGTAAATGCCCATTTCGGGCCAGCCATGCGCCAGGCACTGGGGTGGCAGCCTCTGCTCACAGCCTCCTAGGAGAAAGGGCTGACAGACACAGGGCTGAGGAGCTCTGGTGGAGGTGTGCAGGAGCCCAGGGGAAGGGCCCTGCCTCCAGCAAGTGCCGGGGAGGAGAGGCTGGAGCCTGTCGGGAAGGACCAGCTGCGGGGGGTGAGTGCTCAGCCAGGCAGCTCAGTGGGCATGCAGCTGGTGATGGCATGTTTCTTGTTGGCCTTTTAATGTTTACTTTGAATCATTCATTCCTTAATGAAATTGGCAAACTATTTCACTTTATGATTTAGAAGTCGTCTTTAATTAAATTTTTAAATATGATCTTTCAACATTTTACCATTGTACATTCTCTGATTTTCTTATTACAGTTTTATGCTGTTCTCCTGCATTGTTGTTATTTCTTCTGAATTTCTTTTCCCTTTTTGCTTGCTTGTTTGGGCCTGTTTTTGGTGTTTATCAGAGCAGCCCTGAAATGCTGATTGGGGGTTGAAGGTGGCAGTGGGACCTGTTGACTTCGTTGCAGGGGGCTGGGCAGTGGGGTCCACACCTCTGTGCTCTCATCTCACAACCATCTGTGCCCTCCTGGCTGCCAGGCTCCCACCTCCTGATCACACAGCTCACATTCACACCCTTCCTACCTGACTCAGGGTCTTCTCCACTCTACCTGTTGGCATCATTCACACTGAGAAGCCAGTCCAAGCGAGGCCTCCTGGCGCTCCCTTGACCTTCTCACTTTGACCTTTACCTTCACCTGCTTCAGTCTGCCCAGGCCTTTCTGCCTGCCTTCCTGTGCTTCCAGCCAGAGACCCTACCCCACACACACCGAGAAAAGAGAATCAACCTGGCAGCAGCCCCTCTCCATGGCCGCCAAAATAACGCGCCCTACCCCCCTGTTCAGACCCTCTTCTCTTCCTTCCCCTTCATTACAGGGGACGAGATCTCCTCTCGTGTGCAGAGTCTGCCCTGTCCCCACCCTGCCCTACCTCAGGGCTTCTGTGGTGGGACCCTGTATTTTCTTTCTGTCCTTGCATGCTCCCACCAGTACACGGGTATGCTTACAAACAAAAATCCACCCTGTCCTGCCCTGTTTCTCTGCTCTTTTCTTTCTTAACTTCTTGAAAGAATTGTTCACCTCACCCTTGATCCACTCTAAAAAAGATTATTAGTATGAAACATTTCAAGCATATAGGAAATGTCATGCATACCCATATGTCTTCCTTATTTAGCTTTGTCAAAATGAATCACCATTTTTGGCCACATTTGCTTCATACCTTTTATTTTTAACAGAAAAATATTACAAATGCAGTTGAATTCCCTTTGAACCTCTCCACTGTCTTATTCGTATTCCTTTCTCTCTAGAGATCACCTTTTTTGATTTTGGAGTTTGTGACTCCTATGCACATTTTAATATTTTTATTCTATATGCATGTATCCATTAATGATGAATAATATTATTTTGCACAATATGAAATTTATATAAGTGGCATCATTCAGCTCACTAAAATCTGGCTTCCACTCCTATGCAGAAACACGCCTTCTCTTGTCAAGGTCAGTACTGCCTTCCGTGTAATTTGGCAGAAATCCAAGGAACCTTTGACTCCATTCAGCAGCTCACAGCAACATAGGCCCTGGAAATCCTCTCCTTGTGGAGAACCAGGCATTCTTTGTTACCCTCTTACCTCTTGGGCTGTCCTCTCCATCCACTTTGCTATCTTCCCTTCAGCACAACTTATGAATGTGAGTTTCTCAAGGCTCAGGTCTAGGTGTCCTTTTCCCTTGGGGGTCTCCATCTAGTGTTTTTTGGTTTTTTGGGGGTTTTTTGTTTGTTTTTGGTAAAGTGAAAGCAAGTTTATTTAGAGAGATACACACTCCGTGGACAGAGTGGGGTCTGTCTCACTCAGAAGGGAAAATGGCTTAGGAGATATACACTCCATAGGCAGAATGTGGGCCATCTCAGAAAGGTGTCGGGGTATTTAATTTAAAGTGAAAGCAGATACACACTCCATAGACAGTGTGGGCCATCTCGGAAAGCAAGAGAGAGAGAGAGCGACCTCAATCTTGTCTTGGAGCTTTAAAAACTGCTTGTGTGCTGGGGGCCATCAAATGTGTGTGCCCAGTCCACTTCCCTGTGGGCTCCGGGGCCCTGGATTCAGCTGCTGTCTTCCTCTGGTGGCTCAGGCCTCATCTTTTCCACATGCACCTGTTTCTCCCCAAATCTTGCCAAAGGCAAGCAAGTACTAGGGGTGCCACCCCCCATTCTTCACTCAAGAAATCAGAGATGTATCCTCCAATCTGTCTTTCACATCTGCATCTGGTCCATAAGAAAGCCCTGCAGGTTCCACCCCCAAAATGCTACAAATCTGTCCCTTTTTTTTCCTGTGTCCACTATCACTACCTTAGTTCAGGGAATCATTACCTCCCCTGATGGCTGCAGTGGCTGGACTCGCTTCTCCCCTTCCTGTGTTGCCATCCTTCATCTCTCTCCATTTCCTTAGGGTGAAGTGTGGACCCGTCCCCCTGACCTGCCTAGGCCCACACAGTCTGGCTCCTGCCTCCTCACCAGCCTCATCTGAGGCCACTCTCACCCCTTCTCACTGAGTGCTAGTTCCTTTGCCGACGTTTCTGCCTGGCCCACCCCGACCCCTAACCCCTACTTCCGCTGACTGCCTCCTCCTTCTTAAACCCTCAGCCTAAATGGTGAGTTTTCAGTGTCTCGGGCACTCCCTGTTACACTTCTTTATTTCCCCTGGGGCATTTTTCTCCATTTAAAAATTTTTTTAATGTTTTATTTGTTTGCCTTTTCAACTCTTGAGGCTGTCAGCTCCCAGGTGGTAGGGACCAGGCTTTGTGCTCCACTGTCTATCCAGTGACACCTTGCACAAGACCTTGTGGGCTACATCCTTAAATTCCTAGAAAGGGAGTCAAATGGTCTTAAACTATGAGACTGTGAAGGCTCAGGCAGTGGTTGGTATTCATATAGAATTTGTGAAGTTTGAACATTTATAGCATTATAGCTGCTAGTTACTTTTCTGTAGTCCTAGTCCTGCAGTTTTGGTAAATATTACAACTTCTACTTTGGCTTGAAGAACAAAAATTAACTGTTAAAAAGTGATATTTGTTGCACAAATATTATTGCAACAAACATATACATTGAAAAATTGAAAGACAGTTCATCCTGAATCCCTCCTTCACTCTAATAAATCAAATATATATTTTTCTGTATTCTCTAGTCCTGGCCCATATGTATAGACAGCTTACATTTCATCACAAGACATAGATTAATTCCTTCTTGTTTTTCTGTCTTATGTGCTCTTTATAAACATATTTAATGACTAAACAATAAGTATTTCATTTTTCTGTGCAGATATCAAAAGCTCTGTTTCTCCTTTAATGTTCCAATGTACGTTTTTTCCTATTCTTTTCCTGATAATGAAGTTTTTTCCTTTATATACAGAACCACCCAACCATATATAATTTTTTCAATCCTGGGAACTCCCAAGTGCCAATATTCTAGGGTATCTATCTTATTAAAGCAGAGAAATTTGAAATGTGACTGTTTTATTTACATATGTATTATATATATAATATGACAGGTAGGTAAGTCTTTTTTCCAGGGTTTCTTAAATAAGGTAGTGCTGTACAGATTTGCTTTCCCTCTAGTGCTTGATTTAGGCTTTTAGAATTTCTGGCTGCTCACTTCATAATACAAACAATCCAGAGTGTCTGGTTTATATCTGATGCTTAGTTTCTTGCTATATTTTAGTTGTTTTTTTTGTTTGTTTTTTAATTTTACTAGTATCTGTAACATCTTCTTGTACCTACCAGTCACTTTTTCTGTTGCAGGCAACATCTAGACTAAGAGAAAGAGGCTGTGATGGCCGCCTGGCAGGAATTGAAGTTCAGCAGCTCTTCTGTTCTCAAAGTGCAGCAATTCCTGAGCACCAGCTAAAAGAACTGAACATAAAAATTGACAGTGCTCTGCAAGTAAGTTTTCCAGAACTGGCACATTAATATCTGAGGGATTGAAACAAGGAAAGGAGTTAAAGATGTGATGTTGAACGAATTAGAGAGAATAATAAGATAGTAGTTGGCCTCATGTCTTTTAATAACTGTAGAAATTTAACAGTTCTATTTTTGTTGGACCTTGCCAGTTTATAATCTGCTATGAAATCTTGACTCTTGAAAACAATTTCTTTGCAGGCATATAAAATAGCGCTGGAAAGTTTAGGTCACTGTGAATACGCAATGAAAGCTGGTTTCCACCTGAATCCTAAGGCAATTGAAGCCAGTTTGCAGGTACGCTTTTCTTTCTGGTGGCTCCTGGGAGCTGTGGTGTGGCAGTCACTCCACCACATGAGCCAGGTGTCTTGAGAGATGAGCTGTGGGTCACCTGCCTCTCCCATCCCACCCTCTCCAGGGCTGCTGCAGCGAGGCGGAAGCGCAGCAGACGGGGCGGAGGCAGACCCCCCCGCAGCCCATGCAGTGTGAGCTTCCCACCGTCCCCGTGCAGATAGGATCCAGCTTCCTGAAGGGTGTCTCCTTCAACGAGTCGGCCGCTGACAATCTGAAACTTAAGACGGTAGCTTTCCATGGGGTTCCAGCAACCTGGCTGTGAACTTGAAAATAGAGTTCTTAAGGAAACCTGAGGGCTTGTAAGGAATCTAGATTAAAAAGCCAAACTGAAGTGAAGGCAAGAGGCACTGACCTTCCTTAGTAAACTGTCAAAAAGCAGACTAGGGTGATGTTTTTAATGAGACATTCGCCAGTTTAGTTTTATTTATAATTTTGTTCAAAGTTAACATAACAGTTTTGAAAGTACACTATAAAATACTGCTTATGAGGAATGTTTCAGTAGACTTTCTTGAATTAAATAAGAGGAGAAATCTTGTCATAATGCAGTAATTCTGACCAATTGTGGAGCATCATGTGTGCCAGACAGTGTCAGGTGCTTCCCATGCAGTCTCAGTTAATGATCACCCACCAGGTGGGCACTGCCCTTTCCTCCATTTGACAGACAGAGGAACTGAGGCCCAAGGTCACACAGCTAGAAAGTAGTAGACTGGAATTTAAGCTTTTGCAGTCTGTTTCCAGAGCTTGCATACCTAACCACTTGGTCATCTAAAACAAAGATGAGGTTTTCATTAGTATTACATCTACCAGATGATTTGTTTCCCTATTCAAAAGGATTCAGAATTTCAAAATTCCTCAACCAATTTGCATCCACAGATTGCTAAATATTGCTGTATTTTGTGCTATTATAGAAATCATATGTCTCTTAATGCATGTGTGTCCATATCTAGCCATTTACTCTACAGGATTGAGAGTCTTCCAAGGTATCTAAGGATAATTACTTAAGAAATTAAGATGACATGATCTGGGAGTAGTGCATAAATTGATTTTCTCTTGAGGTCTATTGTGTACTTGTAAATACATTTCTACAAATTTTAGAACTTTGTATGGCTTTATTCGGAGGCGTGAACTCTCTTTTTATCAATCGGTAGCACACAATGTTACAGCTGATCAAGGAGGCAGGCTGCTACAATGGAATCACGCCCAGGGATGATTTTCCTGTGACTGAAGTCCTGAACCAGGTGTGCCCGTCCACATGGCGGGGTGCCTGCAAGACGGCCGTGCAGCTGCTGTTTGGCCAAGCTGGGCTGGTGAGTGACTGTGTGATGGATGAAAGAGAGAGTAGAGAAAGACTTTTTAAGCATGTGAGGATGTGGTATGGGCACATGTATGAGAATACTGGATAATTTAAAAAGCTCTTTGGTGCTACAGAGTTTAGACCAGATAGAAAAGGTAAAGGAAGAGCATTATAAAAAGTCATTTTGTTTCTTTTATAGATTGATAACATGTATTTGCAGGGAACCTAGTTGCAAAATGATGTCGCAGGCTTTCCTTATTTTAAGGAACCCATTCCATTAGTAATGATTTGCTAGAGCCCCTTGACCTGGCCTGACTGCTCTGGAGCTACAGTGGATGTCTTCCTGTTGCTCAAACACACCAAGCTTCTTCCTGTCACAGGCCCTTGCCCTTGGTGCTCCTTTTACCTGAGGATACTCCTCTGAGATCTTCGTGTGACTTGCTCTTCATCTGTCCGATGTCAGCTCAAATGTCACCTCCTCTGTGGTATAAGTAGTACCCCTGTCCAGTCACTTGTTATCCCAGCTCTCTGTTTGTCTGCTTCTTAGCAGTAAAATAACATCAACTCAGAAATAGGTTTGGTCTTTTCACCTGTGGTGAGAAGAATAACTTTTGCCAAAGTTGGGTGGAGTCAGGAAATCAACATCTAGTTTTTTTGTTAGGCACCTTTGACCTATATCACCTTCTGTACTTAATCCTACTTTCTAGAGTTAAATGACTTTTTGAAAAATTGCAGCATTTCAGAGATTAAAGGAACCTAATTAGAGGCTAAGAAAAGTAAAGAACTGTTTCTTAACCTAATTCCTACTTTATTTATAAAAGGAACTGTTGGGAGGAAGCTGTCCTTTTGTTTGGTGTGAGTGAGGGCTCAGGTGGCCCAGCTCAGGGTGGTGCTGCCTTGTAGAGGACCAGGTGGGATGAGTTACACTTCCCTTAGGATCTGTTCCTTAGTATAGGAACCCCTAAGAAAAGGAGTAAACTGGAGATCCCTGCTGAAGTGTGGAAGAGCCCACTGCTTTTAGAAGATTGATCCATATGCCCAAAGACCATTTTAGCTGAAACTAAGAGAACTGTGGCAATAAGTTCTCCAGAGTGGAGTGTGTAAAATAAAGCAGGAGGACCCACAGGCTGCTTTGAGAAAACTTAGCTTAAAAAAAACCACAAAAGTCCCATGTTATACTGAAAGCAGAAACTTCTTCCTAGTTCCCAGAGCACCTTTGTGTGTAACTGATGAAAAACTTTTTGATTATGATTCTGGGGGTGGGAGGGGAGAGGAAACACCTGCCTGTTCCAACAATGGCTGTTGCTTGGACAGGAAGCCCTTTCCAAAGGACATTGCAAACCAGCTGTGGGAACTCTGTAGCAGTAGAAATCAGCTCCATTAGAGGCTGAAGTTGGAATCATAATAAGCAACTCTGCATGGCTTTGCCTCTTATGAAATATTACAGATTTGGTTTTAAAGTGTTCTATAATTATTTTCTTAAAATTATTTTAGTTATTTGAAAATATATTCATCACTTTGTCATACTCTTTAAACAACAAAGGATTCTATAGCGTCCATGTAATAATATTAAAGACTTCTCTAAATAAGAGGAAATCATGGAGAAAAGGGTTGGTTCTTCATTTTTCCTGAAGTAACCATTCTATTGATGGTTGAGAATAAAATGATCTTTACAGAAAGCTTCATCCACTTCTGGCTTGTTTTCAGTCATTACAGATAGGCTTTTCTGAAGTATTGGTTTAATTTTTCATGACATTTTTACTTCTTTCAAGTGCATAAAATAAAAAAAATACTAACATAAAGGAAACAAAGTAATCCCTAATTAACATATTTATAATTTGGAAGAAATACAAAAAATGATTGCAAAGTTCCGTACATCCTACACCACGAATTTGGTTTCTGTTTATTAAAGTATTAAGGATGACTGTTTTCAGTCATCTTTATCATTTGCTGTTGTCTCCACTGGGGATTCTGACTGGGCCCTGCGTAACTGTCTTGCCGGGGAAGTGGTTTTCACCAGAGTCACTCAGCATTGATAGGCTTGTGTATTAGATTTATTTATGATCCATTTTCCTCTCTGAAAGCTGATTATTGTTGTTGTTTCTCTCTTAGGTGGTAGTTGACACGGCACAAATAGAAAATAAAGAAGCCTATGCCCCCCAGATCAGTTTAGAAGGCTCCAGAATCGTGGTTCAAGTCCCGTCCACATGGTAATGTGACTCTTACATTAACACAAGCCTAAGCTCTAATTGAAGTGTGGACATCTTTGAAGATTGCATTATTTTGGACAAACCCCACACTATCTCACATGACAAGTCTTAACTACCTGTGCGGGTTTGTGGTCAGTGGTGGTGTGTTAATCTCATGTGTCAAGATTATCAGCACCTGATAAGGAAGCCAAGGTGTCTGAAAAATGTCTCATTGACCAATAAATTTAACGAAAATGTTACATACTCATGGATCATAATGAGCAATATTACCTTTTTTGTGTTATCTGAGTCCACAGCTTTTGAACAGAGTGTATTATTTTCCCTAAGTCACCTGGTGTTTCTCCAAAGCTGAGTACAGAAACTAGGGTTCCTCTTCCTCCTTTGTTCCCACAGCAGCCTGGATGAGCTGTAGCTCGTGTCTTCATATACCCAGTGTCATTGCGAGTCCGGAGACAGACTGAGCTGTTTTTGTTTTTAATTATTTGATTATATTTGTGAACTTATAATAAAATATTCTTCTTAGCTTATTTAAACAAAAGCTCCTACAAATCAATAAGAAATGGGCAAGGCACACAGACAGGAAAATCAGAAGAGATGTAGTCAACAAAGAGATGATGAACATGTGCAGACTCACCAACAAAGAAAGGAAAGGAAAGCAGAGAAACAGCACGACGTCATTTTGCCCATCGTGTTGTCAGATCGTTTTAGAATAACAATGCTAGATCTGGACCAGACTGTACAACAGCAGTCATAGACGTTGTTGAATAAATCACACAGCCTTTCTGGGGGGCAATTTTCTTTATCAGAAGCCTAAGTTAAGGGCTGTGACCTCAGCAGTTCGACCTCTAGGGATTTATCCTTGGGATGTGTGTACAGATTCAGCTCGCAGATCGGCATCACAGCTTTATTAATAAAAAATCAACCATTATCAGAAGACGTTTGCTATTAAAATTATCAGAATGAATATTTCTATAGAAAATGTTTAAAGCATCTAGTTGGGAAGAGATAGAGATAGTAACAGTGGCACTGTTGGTGCCTGTGTGGACTGAAGTGGTAGCTGGGTAATGCATTCAGATTATATTGAAACATCTCTTTTTTTTAACATTTTTATTGATTTATAATCATTTTACAATGTTGTGTCAAGTTCCAG